TAATGAATATTGAATACAAGATTAATATGCACTACAAGTTGGTCATTAATAAATGAAAGATGATAACTTGGTGATTAGTGAAATAAATAGGGTTAAAATAGTTAAAAGTCATTATGGACTTTGTACCCCAACACAAATCCCAACTCTCGTGGTGGAATTATCACGTTCGTGAGGTCCACGAATTTGGACCCTCAATGTCTGTGAGCCCAACGGATTTATTCCTTCTAAATCCATCAAACAAACGACGGATTGTGTACAAAGTCCATGATTCTTGGTTTTGACGTACCAAATACATGATAAATTTCATGAAGCAAACGAGGAGTAAAGCATTCTGACGGCCTCTCGCAGTTCAGCAGTAGTCTGGATTATGGAATTGGTTCGCCAATATTTCAGTTTTAGTGATGGCTTTATGGAACTATGTGCAAATGGAAGTGTTTTCTATAAAGAAAGTCTGGGAAGTGTGATAGAAACTTATATTTTAGTACTTGATTAATTGTCGGTTTATTATTATTCGGATTATGAGGACTATTCGGGAATAATTTATAGATTGGGTAGTAGTAGGAAATTAGTCATTTCTATATAAACTATTGTAAGTTAGAATTAGGGTTAAGCAAAGAATTAATCAAAAAGCCTAATCTATTCTTCTTTCTCCCTTCCCCTCTGCCGACCCCACTTTCCCCCCTCTCTTCCCTTGGCTGCGCAGCCCTCCTCTTCCTTTTCTTCTGGCTGCTGCTGGCGACCAGCACCTTCTTCCCCTTTCCCTAGCCATTTCTATCCCCTTTTCCACTTCTTTTCCCCAAAAGCAACGTGGTCACCATCTCGGTGATTCTATTGTTGCATCAAATCCCTAATCCCGATAGAACCTAATCCTAGGGTTCTATCATTTGGTATCAGAGCCCCGTTTTTGGGTTCCGGAGCAAACGAATAACGACGAGCGCGATGGTGTCGACGAAATCGATGCAAGCAGCTGAGAAGGCCGCCAAGACGGCAGCGCAGGAAAAAGCCGCGATCGGGGCCACGTCGGGACTGCCGACGGCGGGTGAGGGCGGTAGTGAGGTCCCGGTGCTGCGGGATGGAGAGATGGTGGATGAGACGCTGGGAGAAGAGCTCCGCACTGAGATGACCAAAATGGCGGAGGCCATGGAGCAGGAGCGTCGGTCCCGACTGAAGGGCGAACGAGCTCGGGAGGCAGAAGCGCGAGCCCGGGAGGCGGAGTCGCAGAGGATGTGGCTCGCCATTGGTGAGCTGAAGGCAATGGTGGCTGAGGCCTTGGAGCGAGCAGGAGGAGGCGGCGGCGGCACCGCCGGGGGCGCGGGCTCGCTGGCGGGTGTTGGGGCGGGCGGATCCGGCGGCGAGGGCTCGGCGGCGGAGGCCCCAGCAGGTGGAGGTGGCACGGCCGCCGAAGGAGGAGTGGCGGCGCCGGGGCTCGCGACGGCGGAGCAGGCGCCGGTCGGGCGGACGACGGCTGAGGGCGGGCAGGGAACCGGCGGAGGCGGAGCGGGGACAGGGCCAATGCAGGTAGGGCTAGGTGTGGGCCCGGGTCTGCTACCGACGCCTACGGCCTAAGAGATTGCGGCCCGAAAAGGAAAGGCCAAGATGGCCGGTTATGACATAGACGGGCCTCCTATGAACAGTGGACCGAAGCTGATGGGCCAATACACGAAGATCCATAACGGATTGGGGTGGTTGGATCTAGAGGATGGGCCCGAGTATGACGAACTTAGCCTGATAGACCGACAGGCCCAGTGGGCTGAACCGGAGGTGGATCAGAGGGGGCCGAATGGGCCGAGGAGGCTCACAGAACCGGTTGGGCGACCAGGGGCGGCCCCCATGGGGCGGACCGAAGGGGGCCGGACCGAGTCCGGTCGAGCCGAGATCGGTCGGACCGACGATGACCGAACCGAGGCGAGCCGAACCGGGCCGGACCGGGCCGGGATGGGTCGACCGGAAGTGGGTCGAACCGGGCATCGCCCGAGTCCGACGGGCCAGCAGTACAGGAGGGTGGACTACCGGGAACCAGCCAGCTAGGAGGTTCCGTACGGGGCGCCTCACGCGCCAGGAGGGTACCCAAACCTGCAGGGCAACTATCCGGGTGACTATGGCCATGAGAATCCGAACCGGATGCCGGGCTCTTCTTTCGGGCAGCCTTGGAGAACTCCAAGGAATGACAGGTATGGGTCCCATTACATGAATTATGAGGGAATGGATGGAGTCGTTTTTCGAGCTAAGCCTCCGACCATTGAGTTTCCCAAATTCAATGGGCAAGAGGATGCAGGTCTTTGGTTGTATGCAGTAGAGAGATGGTTTAGAAATCATCCGGTCCCGGAGGAGAGGAAGGCCTATCTGGCGTCGTTTTATCTGGAGGGAGATGCGCTCCAGTGGTGGGAGTGGATGGAACGGTCCTACGCCACTGCAGCCACCTCGATCACCTGGCCTATGTTTCAGGAAGAGCTCCGTTATCAGTTTGGGAAGTCAGATGGGTGGGCGCCCGAGCAGTTGGCAAAACTGAAGCAGACCGGCACGGTGGCTGAATACCGTGCAGAGTTTTTCAAGTTGGGGAACCAGTGTAAGGGAGTCTCAGAGGACACCTTGGTGGGGCTGTGCATGGCGGGTCTTAAGCCCGAGATAGCGGCGGCAGTCCGGGTGTTCGAGCCAGATTCCCTGAAGACGGCTTTCCGACTTGCAGGCCATAAGGAGGAAGAGCTCGCCAGTTGGAGGAGCGCCATTGGCCGTTTCCCGAAGTCAAGCGGAGGGGGAGGGAGCAGTGGGAGTAGTGGAGGCGCGGGAGGAGCGGCTGGGGTAGGGCCGACCGGGGCTACCACTGGCAGTGGAGGCCCCGCTCCGGTAGCCAGGATGGGGCCGCGGGCCATCCCTAAGGGCTTCGCGCGACTGTCGCCGGCCGAGATTGAGCAGAAGAGGCGGGAAGGCAAGTGCTTCAAGTGTGATGGCCGATTCACCATTGGGCACCAATGCCCCAAGGAAGATTTGATGATGCTAGTGGGACGATGGGAGGATGACGCAGAGGACTATGCTGAGGATGCCGGAAATGATGAAGAGGAGACCTAGTGAGCTAGAGGATCAACCTTGGGGACAAGGTTGATTTTCGAAGGAAGCGGGGATGATAGAAACTTATATTTTAGTACTTGATTAATGGTCGGTCTATTATTATTCGGATTATGAGGACTATTCGGGAATAATTTATAGATTGGGTAGTAGTAGGAAATTAGTCATTTCTATATAAACTATTGTAAGTTAGAATTAGGGTTAAGCAAAGAATTAATCAAAAAGCCTAATCTATTCTTCTTTCTCCCTTCCCCTCTGCCGACCCCACTTTCCCCCCTCTCTTCCCTTGGCTGCGCAGCCCTCCTCTTCCTTTTCTTCTGGCTGCTGCTGGCGACCAGCACCTTCTTCCCCTTTCCCTAGCCATTTCTATCCCCTTTTCCACTTCTTTTCCCCAAAAGCAACGTGGTCACCATCTCGGTGATTCTATTGTTGCATCAAATCCCTAATCCCGATAGAACCTAATCCTAGGGTTCTATCAAAGTGATTCAGCCTAAGCCGCAGAAGGTAAATTGGATGAAGGGAGTGTGGAAGGGAAAATCTATCCCTAGAAATTGTTCTATCATGTGGTTAATTATCAGGCAGTGTTGCAACACGAAGGAGAAAATGCTGTAGTTGGGGGGTTTGCAGGATCCAAAGGATGTGAATTAATTTTGTCATTTTCCTCTGGAGAACCTTTATAATTTGTTTACAGATTGTACGTCCTGTGTATGTTGGTATATAATTGCAAGTTCTGTTTGGTAATTAGCTTCATACTTGTGTGCATGGCAGTTTAGAAGGTGAACTGAACTAGGTAATTAGCAGGCTTGTAGATATGTTTGTATTATAGAGCTTTTAGATTCATGATACCACTAGTTTGAGATTAAGGGTTTTACATGTCGTCTTACATAACTTTCGCCTGTTGCTAGCTAGCGTCTCTTCTTGATGAAATATACTAACCAATTCATAAAAATACAAAAATAAGCATATCAGGTTAAATACAAAACATGGAATAGGAATAAGGGTATCCGAGAAGGAAATCGAGAGAAATTAAATCTCTTCCCAGTCAAAGAATCTTTCCCCACTCCAGACCCAAAAAAAAAACTTAAAAGAGATCGCTTTCAAGAAATCGTGAAGAACCAAGCTGAGCCTCAACATTTCTTGTTTTCGTCCAACTTCTTATGTCCCCTCCCGACAGCTCAAGGAATTATATATGCATACACACACAACCCAGTCTTCTTCCAGCAATTTGTTTTAAGGAAATGAATGGAAACATGTATCGTATATTGTATTAGTTTCTAGCTGGAGCTAGCCTATCCCTCCGGTCAAAGATTTCAGAGACTTTAACTGATTGATCAGAACAAATAAGTACGTACCAAGTTTCTGCATGTTTTTTTAATTTGCTGCTTTTTCGTTCCTAAAGTATTTTCTTTCTCGATCTTTTGAAGATTATATTCTCCGCTGTAGTTAGAATAAGAAATATTATAGGTAGAGAAACTGAAAACTCGGCTGCCTCAACTAAGGAATCAGACTGTTAAGATTTTGAGGTTAACAAGATGCTACCGGCCAGCATATGATTTTGGATATTGATGAAACTTCAGTCAGCTTTCTACGCGACCGGCGGGCCAAAGAAGTTGAGCTCCTCAAATAAATTGATCCGGATAAAAAACTATAACTAAGCGGCGCGGGGAGGAAAAAGGATAAAAAAACACAGCGAAGGAAACTCGTTGGGGCAAACCATCGAACACCTTATCGGCAATTTACAGGGGTAGGTAAATTTCCGGGAAAACAAGCGGCCTCCTAGTTTGGATCATGAAATCATCCATGTTGGGGAAGTGCGCAGCTAGCTAGTCCTCAGTACCGTTACAAATTAGTCAACCGATGATCAAATCTGGGGCGCGGAAGTTGAAAATAAAAGAGACATTGAATAAGGAGTGGGGGAAGAGTGGCTGTTGACTGACCTGGAGCTTGCGAGATCGTAGAGCTTTCCGGTGCTGGAGAAGACGATGACTCCAACTTCGGCGTCGCAAAGGATTGCCAACTCTTTCGCTTTCTTCAGGAGTCCATTCCTCCGCTTCGAGAACGTCACTTGCCTGCTCGTCGAATTGTCTATCCTCCTTATCTCTATTTTCCCTCTCCCCATTGCTCAGCAACTAAACAAAAGCAACAAACCGGCTGCTGCAAATTAAAGAGGGAGGGAATGAAGGAACTCGAACATCAGATAAGGAGGGAACAATTAGTAAAGCGAGAATAAGAAAACAGTAGAAAGAAAGAAAAGAGAGGAGAGAGAGAGAGAGAGAGAGAGAGAGGAGCCAAGGATGCAGGAAGTTTTACTTTGACCGCAAGCGGCGGAGGGAGGCGGAGGCGAGATTGTTGGAATCGGAGGAGAAATCAATGGAGGAGGAAGAAGAAAGGGAAGATGTGAGGAAAGGCGTGAAGAGAGAGATGAGATGAGAGAGGGCGGGTTAGATGGATCGGTGAGTTTCCGGCGTGAGAACGAGCTGGTTGTGGTTGGTGTTGGTAGTGAGTGACCAATGAGAGGACGGCTCTGTCGTTTCTTTTTTATTTGTTTTGGGATTTTGAGCCGTTTTCCTATAGATGATTGACGCGTGGGTGTACAATACATACAAAAGTTTCGGAGCTCCGCGAGTTCCCATTTCGGCAAGTTTCTATATAATAGGAAACCAACACATGGAAAATGAAAAGACTGGGACTCTGGAGCTGAGTGAGTGTGATATAATAAATAAACAATTCATATTAAGGTAAGATCAGCCACAAAAGTTGATGGTTTGTCACTCACGATGGCAATGGAAGTATGGAACTAGTGATGGCAATGGGGCGGGCGGGGCGGGTATCTCAATTCCCATGCTCCGTCCCATGCTATTATGGGTCGGGGCGGGTGAAACCCGCGCGAGTACGGGGCGGGTCGACCCATTCTTACATGTTGTTCAAAAAAATACAAGTAAATTTTACTTTTTACAATAAAACGTAGGAAAAACACTTTAAGAATGAAAAATATTGATAATAGAATGGATAATTGAGCCTAACAAGTTGAAAGATCGACTCTAACTAGTTGAAGAAAAGTCAAAATAGGAGAAATATGTATAGATATTGTAAGAAATTGAGATAAATGAGTCTAGAACGGGGCGAGGCGTGGCAGGGCAGGTCGGAAGTAGATACCCATGCCCCGCCCCATGCTACTGCGGGTCGGGTAATACCCGCCCCATCACAGGTCAGGTCGGGTAATACCCGCGGCCGGGTTGAAATTGTCATCACTATATGGAACCCTCTCCATAACTAAGGTTTTACAAACTCATCCTAGTACTAGTGGTGTAGTTAAAATTTTGTTTAGGGGTGCCCATTAAACAAATTTTTTTTTTGTTAATTTCTCTTTTTCTAGATTTGAAGCTAAGCTTAAAATGGTTTACCAGGAGTAGAGGTGGCAAGGAATGCGTTAGGCTGGTTTCTTTTTTTTAAGTACCCACCATGGCTACCTCCTTTTTGGCCATACAGATTATGTAAATCCAAATATGAGGGCCCATTTTGCTGGAGGGTGTTTTCGGAAGGGACCCACACGATCACTTTGCCTCCTTACTAGACCCGAAATCAGAGGGAATTTCCCTTTCCCACGCTTCCCTTCTTTATTGTTTCTCTTTACCTTATCAAGGCTCTCTCCCAAAACCCTCTTCCCTTTTGTAGAACATTCTTCGGCGGCAGCCCTTTGCTATTCCGCCGCGCATTCTCACCCCGCTGCCGTATTCTCGTTCGGGCGTCGTGGTCTCTCTCTGGCGCCACTGGCTCTCTCCGGCGCCGCTGGCTCCCTTCCTTCATTTACCGTCCCTCCCTCGCGCAACCGTAAGCCTTTATACGTTGGTGGGGTGAACGAGCGTTCTCGGCGGCTCCCTCCACTGTTTCCCGTTCCTGTTCGTCGCACTCCGCCTGCGCTGGAAAACGAAACGGTACGCCGGAGGAGCTGCTGTTCAGAGGTTTTCGTTCGAGCAACTTGTGTAGGTGCATCCACTTCCGTTGTCACCGCGTCTCGGCTGTGAGCTGCTGTTCAGAGGTTGGTCCCCCGCCAGAATCCTAACCTTCAAATTTAAACTTTTGGTAATACCGCGCGGTATATTCATTGCATGTTCTTCCAATCGTATACATCTGGGATCTGGTTTTGTTTGGAAGGGTATTCTTTTTGTTTTTGTATCCTTGCGTTCGACAACGTTTGTTAGGCGTGGATTGGTATATTATTGTTGATTTGGTAGTGATTTAGCTTTTACGTTGTTCGGATTGGTAGGTTCCTTTAATGCATTGGTAGTGTTCTGCTTACCTGTGAATCTGTGATGCTTGTGTGGAATGGTAGTTTTCTGTTACAATGGTAGCTTTTAGGCTGTTGAATGTTAGGTACCTTTGATGCAATGGTAGGTCGTACCTGTGTGTGAATCTGTGTTGTTTGGTGTGGAATGGTAGTTTTTGGGTTTTTGAAAGGTAGCTTTTGGGTTTTGAATGGTAGTTTTGTTTCGTGCATTGGTAGTTTTCTGCATACATGTGAATCTGCTGTTTCATGTGGATTGGTAGTCTTCATTTGCAATGGTCGTTTTCGATCCCTGCAACGGTAGTGATGTTTGGTTAATGTTACTCCTTTCCATTTTTCCGATTTTAGGAATGGCAAGAACCAAGAACCCCAATCGTAGGGGCTCAAAGAGAAATGACCCTGTTCCTAAACCCTCAAAACACAAGGAACCTGTTACCTACAGCAATCGTCAGGTTCAAGTTGGCGGTAGGCAAACCTCTGCCGTTGATGAAGCTGTTGATGGGTCACCTCTTGCTCTCTTCATGTGTGAACTATGGAATGGGAAGTTGCTATCCGAATGGAAGAATGAATGGCAGGGGCCTTCCTACTTCAGCTCTAGGATTGCACAGTTGGTGAAAAGCATTATCGAGGATGACAGCAACATATTGTTGGATGAGCTGACTAAGCATGTTGCTGATAACCATGAAGGTTTGGCTCGTGGCTACACTCAACGAGAACAAACGTCTTCTCATGTTTTAGTTGTTAATTTAAATATTACTTTCTCGTTGACAGAATAATTTTTATTATAACTTTACCACTACAAACCTCATCAGGATTTTAGTTCAAACTGCATTTCTCTGGTTCATAACTTTATAACTATAAGGTTTTTCATTCCAAACTCTTGGGTACTTTTCCACGATCTGGTCATCACTAGTTTTTTTTTTAGTGAATACGTCATCACTAACTACATGTATGCCAATCCAGTAATAAACACTATTAACACATGAATACCAATGCAAGTAAGTGCGCTACGTACTCATGTATACCAACGTTTTAACTCATGTATACCAATGTTTCAACCCAACTACATGTATGCATAAACCGTTTCGTTCTTTTAGTGTGGATTTCGTGACTGTGGACGTCCTTCCATTGATATATCTCATATTTTCCGCTACTAGGTTCGTAACAGCACCTAGCCACAGCTTTACATCCAAACCGAGTCTCACCCCTCTTCCTCTTCTTATTAGGTTCTGTGTCTACCACAACACCGACATTCTTTGGATCAAGCGTGCTGCCTGTTTTGAACCCTTCTTTGTTGCACCGTGCTCCAAAGTAAAACACCTTTCGTTCCTTAAGATATTTGGGCTTCCGAGACTGTTTTCCAATACGTCTTACTCCAAAACCCCTCCCGTGTGCGAATTCCTCTTAGAACTTGACAAATGCTTCCCTATTGTCAAATCTCAAATGCTGCCATGACTATTTGTCGTTTGGTAGAGCTTTGTACACCTGATTTGCAATGTGAAAAACAACAATGCATCACTACCATTGCAGTATCTCAGACTACCACTACCAACTCACTACCATTTGACGCAAATATGACAAAATATTACTACCACTGCAGTAGTTCATACTAAAGACAGCAACAATACCAATCCAATCAAACAAATACCAATGTGGAACGAACTACCAATAACAATACAACATATACCAATATAAGGACTACCATTACGCCAAAAACAAATACGTAACAGTACCAATCCATTCCACACACTCAACATGGACCAGGGAACCGTCACCTTCGTCATAATTGTCACAAGCGCCGCCTTCGTCCACGGTTGGTTCTCCGATGATATCTTATCCTTTTGCAAGGGTTTGCCGACCAAAAGCGATGTTAATATTTTGTTGTTCAAGCGAAAGAATACAATCATGTAGTGTTAGACTCGGGGTTAGATTCTTACCGTCGTCGCTTTGCATCGCTGTATCCTCTTCCTCGCCACCAGAAACAAGACTTTCTCCAAATAACGCCTCCATTACCAGCCTTCTACCCTATACCACGTCTGGCGATGGTTCGCCGTCAACGAGAGCCATTTTTCTCCCCTATGATAACGTGTAAAAGCCAAAAATCTTTTCCTGCCGAAAATAGGGTACTAACAAAGCCCTACGCTGATTAAACTACCTAATAATTAGTTACCGTAATTATCTCTCCCTAATTAACTGCGTAATTAAAATGGTAGTTTGAATTAGGATGAAAGCAAAATACCCTTCTTATCCCTAGTAACCACGGTGGTTACTACCACTAAGTATCCACCGTAACCTCTCCCGAGGTGGCAATTAGGATCCAAATCCATGAATCCAATCCAATCCATCCACCAAATTATCCACCTAATCCAATCCATTTTATCCAAATCCAATTGGATTGGTGGATTCATGGATCAATCCATGGATCCAAATGGCAAATTACGATTTGGTACCTATATTTTTATACTTTACATTTTGGTACCTAAAATTTATATTTTTATACGAAAAATAACATTGGAAAATTATATTTTGGTACCTAAAATTTTTAATCGTGACATTTTAGTACCTAAACTTTTCAAAATTAATATTTTGGTCCAAGCCTTGTATGTCATTTGGATTCATGGATCAATCCACCAATCCATTGGATCAAATCCATTTGATCCATTGATCCACCAATTCAATCCACGAATCCGATCCAATTGCCACCTCTAATCGGGAGAGATTGTTGTAACAGTACTGGTGTAGTCGAGTTAGAGTTAAATGTTGGTGCATTTGAGGAATTAACTTCATGCCCTTGAACATTTGGAGTTGTTTTGTCCATTTTTATTGAGATTTCT